ATGTATATTGCTGCTGCCACACAGATCTAAAATAAACATGCGATTATCTCCCAGCAGTTTACCTTAAACCGACTTAGTTTAGTACTCACATGCTGTGACAGCCGCTTTCTGTCCTTGTGCTTCAGTTGTGTGCACTCAGAAAACCGAAGTTTAAACTAATATGGTTTAAAACGCATAATTTCAACGCTATAAACATGATAATCAGAACCAAAACACATGTTTTAGCAGGTCCGAGCTGTATTGGCGCAGCTCTATTCTGGAAAAGGGGGCGGGGAGCAGCAGCTCATTTGCATTTAAACTTATATTACATATTGTAAAAATGGGCATAATATGTCTCCTTTAAATAATTTCAAATATCGGTATTTAGCATTTTATGTTTAATATCAAAACATGATTTATGCATTTGTAATTGCAGGTTAAATGCACTCATGTTTTGCATTAAACTGTGTATATGCATCTAAATGCCACTTGAGATGCAGCTTCTGTTTTCTCTGCATTGCAAAGATGAATTTTGTTGATACTGATTTCATTTGCTTGGTAACATCCCAAAAGTCTTATTATTCGAATTCACTGATTAAATGTAAGAATTTGACTCAAAAGATAAGGGACACTTTTAGAAAAAATGGCTTTATAAAGGTAAAAATGCCCATAAATGTAAAAATCAGTTTAAACTTATTGGAAAAAGATTAATTTCTATCAGTGTGAACTGACCACCACACAGAATATGAAGAATATCAAAAACTTTAGGAGTTCACGACGGTCCTTAAGGTACCAGCACAATAACATACAGCAAAATATCGTCTAATTATCGTTATCGATAAAATCCCAGAAAACAGAGATATTATTTTTTGTCAATGTCGCACACCCCTACTAGCAAGAGACATGGAAAAGTGGGAGGGAAAACCTTACCTTTTTATTCAGCTTCAGCCACGTTGTGTAGCCTTTACTGTCCACGTACTGCAGACCGAAAAACCAGACCTCTCGCAGACCTACCGTCTTCACCACCTGCAGGATGACCATGAATGAATGAATCTTTCAACAATCAACATAAATGTGAAAGAGCTGAAATATACTTTTTTTTACATCGAAGTTACCATTTCTGAATGAAACTACACAATATTAAAGATATGCTAAATTATATACGAGTTCTTCAAATTGAAGATAAATAAGAATAAAAGAATGAACACATGTGAGAACCAAATGCTGCTCTAAACAGGCAACAATCATTCAACATACGTATAGTGGGAAAGGTCTATTCAGAAAGCCCTGTTCACAACAGTCAATAAGGTCAGGAAGCTTTTTGAGGTGAGGCCATTTTTTCCCCCTCAAAACCCATTCAAAGCACAAATTAAAGAAACTCCCCTCTGGGAGGCTGAAGTGCACAATGCGCAAGACCCTCAGTCAGGTTAAAGGGTTACTCAACCCCAAAATGAAAATTTTGTCATTAATTACTCCCTCATGTCGTTCCAAACCTGTAAGACCTCCGTTCATCTTCGGAGCACAAATTAAGATACCTTTGATGCATACGGAGAGCTCTCTGTCCCTCCCATAGACAGCAATGTAAGTAACACGATCAACGTCCAGAAACGTAACAAGGAGATCTGTAAAATAATCCATGTGACATCAGGGGTTCAACCGCAATTTTACGAAACTACGAGAATACTTTTTGTATGCAAAGAAAACAAAAATAACGACTTTATTCAACAATTTGTCTCCTCCGCGTCACCGTAGCACCATTTTGGAGAGTATTCACTGAACGCAAACAGCGTATGCTGTTCTGTGTCAGCTGTGCCACATGGATATGTTTTCTATGTATATTTACGCTTTGATTTGAATGAAAACAATTTATCCGTGTGGTGTGGATAAATGTGGTGTTGAATAAAGTCGTTATTTTTGTTTTCTTTGCGTACAAAAAGTATTCTCGTAGCTTCGTAAAATGATGGTTGAAGCCCTGATGTCACATGGATTATTTTACCGATCTCCTTGCTACGTTTCTGGACATTGATCGTGGTAATTACATTGCTGTCTATGGGAGGGCCAGAGAGCTCTCAGAATGCATCAAAAATATCTTAATTTGTGTTCCGAAGATGAACGGGGGTCTTACAGGTTTGGAATGACATGAGGTTGAGTAATTAATGACAGAATTTTCATTTTGGGGTGGAGTAACCCTTTAAGTAAACTTTATTTCTAATAGCGCTTTATACAATACAAATTATTTCAAAGCTTTATTTAATAATTAAAAAGGAAAATAGCAGAATTAATAATGCAAAATTTAAAAATGAGGCAGCTGTAGAAGGACAATCGTGTCATTATTCAGCTGCAGCCAGTTCAGTGTTGGTTCAGTTCAGCTCAGTAAGTGTTGTGAAGCTCTGAAATTTGAGCGCATAAATATTGTTGTATTTCAAATAGTGCTGTCAAATTGGCTTGTTAACGCAGGCGATTACTATTTTCAATTTAACTCGTTAAAAATATTTAACGCAATTAACGCAGGGGCGGCGCTAGGGTTGGCTACCCCACTCACAACTGCTGCTTCTTTCACTTTTTCTCTTGACGAAGTGCATTTATTTAGACGCAGAACATCTTTACGACCACATCAAACTGGAGACGTTTCAGACGCGTGTTCCACTTCAGCGCCAGGCGCAAGTCAAATGAGCGTGGAAACGGTACTGTGCTCGAAGCGCGTGCTCTTCAATTGCATGTACAAAGGTGCCGGCGTGCGCTGTAGCCTGTATCATTTCAAATCAAATCGCGAATGAAACTACGAGCATGCAATGTCGTGGTCAGTTAAGTCATGAAGTTACCAAAAAGGCGATTAAAACTGCCTTAAAACTGTACATGCATGTAATATTTTTTTTTATGAGTCACATTTAAGAACATGTCTCTGAAATGGTTTTCAAAACTGTCCTGGAGCAGCCCAGCACTGTCTCACTCATCAAACACACCCGATTTAACTCGTCAGCTCATTAATAGAGACTTTAAGACCTGAGGGTCAGAGAAGGTAATGAGAGTTGAGCGAAAACAATGTGTGTCAGATCCACGTCACGTTCAGCGGCAGCTCTTAAAGAAATAACAGCCAAAACAACCTAATAACCAGCTGCTGTGATGTCTGTTCATCAAAGACAAAAAGAAAAAAAAGAGGAAATCAATAACTTTTATAGCTTTAAGGATTCCCCCATATTTAATTTAGAATTTAGTGTTTGATAACTTTATTAAATTTCTGTATATTTCTGCTGGGTTTATGTGAAGATTGTTTTAAGTTAACTTAAATTAGAAGTTATTTTTTAAAGTTTAATAAATGTTAAAATTGATAGCTCTCAATTATACTGTAATGTTGAATGGCTATAGTCAATGGTTAAATATTAGGGGGAAAAACAATTTCATAGAGGCATCAGTAGTATTGGTATCAGTCCTGACCTTCAGTCAAAATATTCTATTAAACAAATATTAACAAATATACTGTCCTGGCTGGTAAATTAGTATTAAACTCAAAACAGTGGTATTTAAATGAAGACACTTACCTGATCAAAGAGCTGTTTGCCAGTGGTGTTGGGTTGGATGGCAAATTCCAGCTCCGCATCCATAGTAGTCACACGCACATTAATCTGTACACAAGAATAAAAATATATATATATTATAAATTATCCTGATTGTTCATTTTAATTTTACACTGATTACTGACCAATTAAGACTGATTAGTATACTGACACTCGTGAAATATCACACTCCTGGAAGACTCTCTCAGCCAATCAGGATCTTAAAAGAATTAAATATACACACACACACACACACACACACACACACACACACATACTATCACCACAATATGCCATGTCACTAGTATGCTTTTATTTTGTTTAATTAACAGTCCTAATCCATACTTCTCATGGTTTGTTATATTGTAGCAACAGTATTTTTAAATATCTTTTTTCCTGATTAATTGAGCTGACAATAAATTGTTAGTATCTATCATTCTCTCCACCTCATACAAACATGCACAAAAGAGAAAGGTGATCCAATGAGCCATCCTGCTGGGATTGAGTTACAGCAGAGTTTTCAGTGACTCTGTCCGCCATATACCGCAGCTTGGTCTTCCTTTCTACCCTCTCATCCCCACTGTCATTAATTTCTAATGAAAGCTCTAGGATGCATCACATAATATACCATGAATACAGACATCGTTCCTTACCTGCCTTGCTATGCATTTCAAGCACAATAAAACTGGCTTTATCACATATGGGTAAGTATTTATTTAGTACATGTCATTAGGGTTGGGAATCGAAAATCGATTCCGATTCCAGAATCGGATACTTAAGGTCAGGAATCGGATACTTGTTGTCAAATTAAAATTTCGATTCCGCCTATCGATTCCTTTTTTTTTTCATCTGTGAGGACCGGACATAGCGATCTGCCAGGACCTTGCTCGCTAATCTAAGTGCTCCAAAGTTTGGCTACATTTGCGATCAGATGCCAAAAAAGCTAAGTATAATATCTGTGATTGCTAAACATTTTGCAAGAGAGGTGTCACCACCAACAATGCAAAGCACTTTAATTTAATAGATCGTTAAAGTTCGCGAACACTATTCAAACACCAACGTGATTCTATTCCTAAATTACAATGATTCGACTGTTTCATTCCTCAAACTTTGACGTGTGCGATCAATGTTGTGATCACTTGGTTCGTCCGTGCAGTGTACGATCACAATTTGCGTTCGCGCTACCATTGACCTAAAGAGCACAAGCATGTTTTAATTCAATTGTTTTAGTTAAATCATGGCTGCCTTTTACTAATTTGTTTCTTTGTTTTAGTTAAATCATAGAAATTAATACTATGTGCTTGAAATAATAAATCTAGACAGTGAAATATACACAAAATAAAAAATAAATAAATATGAAAGTGCAACCATCCTACAAAACGGTTGAGCGGGATTCAAACCAGCATTTCCGGCATGGGAAACCTTACTCGTCTCCCATAGGGTCATCTGTAGGTTTTTCATTTATATTTTAAAAAAGTGCCTAAACCCATTTCTGGGGTAAGATGTGAAATTGTAATCCTTCAAAATGGTAGAATTAAATCTCCAATGTCCAGTTTGTCCAAAACCTTTCAAATTAACAGTTAGGGAAACGCAAGCATCTTTTGATACGTCTATGTTCCCAATACAACTGTCAAATATGCTGTCCAGTGAGGTCCTTGGAATAAATAAAAAAAATATATTCTTGTGTGACACCTATGGGGTGCCGAAAAGAAAGTAAACTCCATGCTCAGGGGGTGAAAAAAATTAGACATCCACAAAGCCCAGGTCCTTGCAAATTGGATGCAAAGGATTTGCTTGTGGGGAGGTCTGGGATATTTTTTTGGGAAATCTATCCATGACAGACAGGGTTTAAAATACAATAAGTAAGAAAATCTGATATGTGCACGAGGGCAGACCATCAGTGATGGTGCAGGCATCCATGGTAGATTGTTCAGCCTCAACTGGTCCTTTTTTGTTGGTTTTGCAAAATAATTTTCTTGACTCAAATGTCAAGAATTGTTTTCACACCGTCATCTAGGGCTGTCACGATTATGAAATTTGGCTGACGATTAATTGTCTAAAAATAGTCACCGTTATTGCGATTAATTGTCTGTATTTGGGGCTTTGGCGATTATGACAATTATCATGATTAATTGTCTGTTTTTATGGCTTTCATTATATAATTATGATTAATTTAAGGGTTCAGTAAATAATTATGATGTTATCTTTTAATCTTTTTGAGTTATTATTTTAGAGTGTAAGATTATACAGAGTATTCCAAATTCTACTTATTGGCCAATACCGATCCAACACTAGCGCTATTTTTTTTTTTCTACACCACTACAGAATATCAATACTGTGTTTGTGGAACTAATGGTCACTCTTTTAAACCCTTTGTTAAACGCAATCCACTAAATACTCACTTCCTCATTACAGAGAAAAACTACATTTGAATAAAAATATATAAGCTATGAAATTAAACTAGCTGACTGTATAATTTAGCAGCAAAAACAATATCTTAAAAAAAAAACTTTGGTGCACATTATACAATTTAAACATGTTTATTCTGTTAACTATTTGTATTCTTACAAAATACATTCATGAATATAAGATCATAAATCATGATAAGAAATCATGAGAAAAAGAAAGGCTTCTAATAATCTGTCTGTTTGTGATAATCCCTTCCTTCCTTAAACTTAAAGTATTATGTGAATATATCACCTCGGAGAGAGAGTTTCACCGTGCTGACTGTCATAACTGAACGTGACGTGCTGTTTGAATGCTGAGCGGAGAATGACTGACAGCTGCAGCAGAAAGAAGATGAGTTTCTGTAAACCTCAATTCTGTCCCTCACATTAAGGCGGTTTACCTCACATTACGCTATGGAGGCTCTCTTTTATTTATTAATTTATTTGGTTCCTCAGTGTTTGTTAAACGTTCTATAATTTATTAGTCGTATATAATACAGCATGTAACGTTTTGTAAGCTAGTTTGTCATTGTATCTTACTGATTTATTGTTGTTGTGCTTTTTAATTAAGAATAACAAAGAATCCATCTTTTGTTTTAGTCTTTAAAAAAATGAAAGGTGCGTAGATGTAAGCAAAACAGTGACAAAAAGATCGCGAATTCGAGTGAAAGTACGATATTATCGCAGACGATATATATCGCACACCCCTAATTGTAGCGCAACAAAAATAAAAAAAAATATTGCGACCAAATCATGTGCTCGTGCGACCAGCTGAGAAAGTTAGTTGCAAAAGAGCGACCAGTGGGAAGAATGAGTCTGGAGCCCTGTATAGGCTATACAGTGCATGGAAAAGCAAACTGGTGCTCTTCTGATTCTTTTGGTGTATGACTCCCCATTGTGTCGTATAAAAAGCGCAATAATCAAATAATCGCGATTAGATCAAATAATCGCGATTAGACAGTTATTTAATTATCGCGACAGGCCTACCGTCATCCTTGTTCAAATCACCTGTGGATATTTCTAGAGCGTCATCTTTTGCTCTCCTGTTAGCGATAAAGTGACAGCCATTTTGAAAGCTTGTTTCTTTATTTCCAGTTCAGTAATGCACATCCACATCTTAATTAAACTGAGGTGGAACCTTGTAGTTTCCAACAGCAATCCTCTGCTACCATTGTTAATCATGAATGACGACTAGGGCTGCACGATAAATCGCATGCGATATTTAACGCGCATCTAATCTGAAAAGACATATTCTGACAAGATGCGCATTAAATATCGCATGCGATTTATCGTGCAGCCCTAATGACGACAGACAAAAATCTCCTATTCGAAGCCCCACAGTCATCACCCTCTTTTCCATCCACACCAAGCAACACCCTAACAACAGAGGAAAAGGAAAACTACCCCCCCAAACATATTCTCTTCCCCAAAGAGAAGCGCCCCTACATTAACTAGTTACCAAAACTCGTTGAAAACTTCAATGCATTCTTCTTGTTACATTATTACTAGGGCTAGGTAAAAAAGTAAAAAATATCAATATCTCGATTTTAATCGATTCTCATTTTTACGGAACGATATCGATGCTTACAGTAAATCCCAAGAATCGATTAGTCTAGCCTGTTTTCAGTTAATGGACGGAACATTGAAGGGCACTTCCCATCCAATAAATCGCAATAAGCATTGTGCTTTGGTGCTTTTAATATGAAAGTCTCAGATTTCAAATTCTGTCCATTGTATTGCAGTATTTAAACAATAAATGTCGTTTTGGCGCTGTTTAATGTGAAGTGACCAATCGCTGTAGCGCCTCAGTTCAACAGACACGGCAGTTTCAGCACAAAATAAACATGACTAAACATCTGAATGTAAGTTAAAAGAAAGAGTACAACTTTACAATCCATATCCTGTCTCATGTAATCGCTCAATCAGTGTTTCAGCCACACAAAGATGTCAATAATGGCTTGTAAACAATGTCATGTAACATCACATTTACCTCCGAAAAAACATATTCGGTGACCATAAACTCATTAGTCAGCTAGAAAAATAAACTGTAGAGAGGGGCATTTTGCTAAATATATGCACCATATAACATTATAACTTTTACTGTTCTTCAATGTTTAATTTATGTTTGAATAAATCCAACATTTTTTTTTATGACAGCCACAATTTAAATGTTTATATTTAAAAAAAAAAAAAAAGAATTGAAGTAGAAATATTATGTAATTGTAACTTTATTTTAAAAACTTCATTAAGTGTAATTTAAGCAGTTGTATAGCTTACAAATCAGTCAATTTTAACCTTCAATATTATAGTACCAAATGACTCCCATGTATATTTTACAGCATTAGTTGAGAGATTTTTTTTCCTTGAGAAAAATTGCCAAGTACTGTACCTGATATATATCCAAAATAATCAATATTGAATCGAATCGGTAATTGAATCGAATCGCAAGCTTGTGAATGAGAATCGAATCGTGAAATTTGTGTCAAAACCCAGCCCTAATTACTACACTATACATTGTTTCTATACATCTATTGAAAGGTTGCATGTCAAAACAAATCAAGGTTCAACTATCACAAAAGTCAAATATGTATATGTAAATTTATATAAGCATGTAAAATGCAG